TTTTTTTTTTTTTTTTTTTTACACCAGGGTAGCAAGGGGTTACCTTCATGAGTGATCTCTTCTTCTTTCATGTTGCAAACAGGATGCAGCCTTTAGAAAAAATACAGGATGTAAAATATAATAATTAAAAATAACGTTTTATAATATATGAAATGATTTCGTGGACAATTTTTACAGTGGTGTCTCATATCCATCCGGGATTCCAGTCAAGTTTGCTCCTCACGAATATCGCTTCGCGGGTGGTTTTTCGCTTTTTTTCGTGTGCAAAACCCTTCTATTTCTGATCAAACGAAATTCAGATAGGAGCGTCATCGGAATATTTTGTTTACCTACTTACTGTTCCAAGGAGAAGTATCTAGAAAACTTCCGATCAGGCGAACTGGTTGGGCCGAGCCATGTTTCGGTTCATTGTACCTTCGATTTGAATCTTCAGCTCAACTCCTATCAGCATTTTATCAATGCCGTTCTTTCTATTATTAAACATAACTCTCGCATGTATTGATAAAGTGCGTTTTGGTAGGTCTTCTCTGATTATTACATCACGGCATAACTTGCTCACAGATAGTAACTAGTACGGATCGTCATGTCGTCCGTTCGTGCCGACCATTATTTGCATAATAATAAATTGTAATAACCCTTACTTATTAATTACCTACGTTTTACGTTTTCACAGTTCCTAATTATATCTGGTTATCACTCTGCTGCCTTACAATTAGCAATTTTTTTTCTAGCGAAAATTAGTGTTTTGCGGGGTTTGATTCGCGCTATTTGTGTTTGTATTTGTTTTGGTGATTTGTATGTCAGATGTGTGTTTATTATGTGTTTTAACTGCAGACATTCTACGGTGCTCTCGGATTTAAACTTGTAAACTTTCTTTGAATGTCTCCAGTTTTACATAATTTAAAGTGGCTTTTTGCAGACGTGCACATCAGTTCGCATCTTTTCTAATTCGCGTCTGTTTTTCTTTTTCTTTTTTTTTTAATTCGCCAACGATTTTTCTCTTTCCATTTCTAAAAGTCTGGTCCTATGCTGTTGAATTTGAATTCATACTCTCCTCACAAGATTAATCCGAAAATAGGGGGTAATTTCGAAAAACTTTCAAAACGCTTGGTTCTCTCTGAAAATTTTCAAGACGCTTGGTTCTCTCTGAAAACTTTCAAGACGCTTGGTTCTCTCGGAAAACTTTCAAGGGCAATTAAAAGAGATTTCTGCTTTGAAAGTCTTTCAAGATGATGGCAATAAAGAAGGAGCTCAATTTGGATAATCCTCGAGAAAGTTATGTTCGCCCGGTAAGCAACTTGTACATTCATCCAAGTTTTTTGTTTCTCGAAACCCATGATCTATACAGGGAAACATTATTTTCCGGACGGACGCCAGAATATTTATGTCCATGTTCCCAAGTAGATGTTTGAAACGAAAATACTTAAACAAAGTTGCAATTCTATGCAGAAAATTGGGATTTTTTTCATCATAAAATTACAAAATTTTTACATAAGTTGGGATTCGCAGCTTCCATCAAATCGCAATTGCCCGGAAACTAGGACCGCACATCTTATCTCATAAAATCGTTCGCCCTTTAGACAGATTCTGGGGGATTAGGCTAGACTAGTCGATGAGTCAACTGTTGGTCTAATTTCATTACGTGAACGCAGAAGCAAAACGGGGTAAAACAACACTAATGTGTGATCAATTTTCAAGGACAATTCTGTAATTTCTCATACGATTTTAAATCGATTAAAACGCGTAATATCCAAAATCTAAGCTCAGATTCAGATTCCTCGTGAAAAACTGATGCGATTTCATGCATCATATGGTAGAATAGCGTGAAGGAAAGAGGTTTAATGACGTAGTATAAAAACACTAATGTGTGATCAATTTTCAACGACAATTATTCTGTAATTTTTCCTACGATTTAAAATAGATTAAAACGCGTAATATCCAAAATCTAAGCTCAGATTCGGATTCCTCGTGAAAAATTGATGAGATTTCATGTATCATATGTTAGAATAGCGCGAAGGAAAAAGGTTTAACGACGCGTATAGATTCTGTCGTACTACCCGTTTGAAGTACCTACGCCGCGCCGCCGCCGCCGGTCGCCCGAGTGAAACCGAACGGGGAGGCGCCGCTTAGCGCCGGCTAAGNGTGCGAATTTGTTATTTTACGCATATTTACCATATTATGGTTAACGATAGGGTGAAATTGATTTTAAATTCGTGATCAGCGACCCAAAAAACACATATAAGCATATGTTGCACGCTGGTAAGGGTGATATTCTAATTAATGCCGTCTAGATCGGGCTCTGGAACCAATGTGCGCCGCCGCGCCGGTCGCCCGAGTGAAACCGAACGGGGAGGCGCCGCTTAGCGCCGGCTAAGCGTTCGGTTTCGTCGCGAAGAATTTCTCACGATAAATTCTTATTCTTCCTCCTCCGCTGACCCACTGAGCATTACCCATGTTGCCACGTTGCATTCATATGCTCGAATCAGTGTACCTACGTTGCGTCTCTTTCCTCCACGCTATGCTCGGGTATGATACATGAAATTGCAGCGATTTTCAACGAGGAATCCGAATCTGAGCTTCGATTTTGGGTATCACGCGTTTTAAGTCACATGTTCCAAATTCGAAAATCCGAAATGACGGGCGTGGCCCTCCGAAATGGAGGAATGCTATCTCGGCCCCTGTTCGATGGATTTTTGTGAAACTCGGTGTCAGGGTATGATACATGAAATCGCATCGATTTTTTACGAGGAATCCGAATCTGAGCCTCGATTTTGAGTATCACGCGTTTTAAATCAAAATCTATCAAAATTAAAAAAATTAAGAATTCGAAAATCTGAAATGACTGAAGTGGCTTAAAATGCTATTTCGGCTCCTATTCGATGGATTTTTCTGAAATTCGATGTCAATAGGTATTTTTCAACGGGAAACTCGAATTTTTAGTCCATTTTTTAAAATTCTCAAATCGAGGATGGCGGACGTGGGCTAAAATGCTATCTCGGTTTCTGTTTGTTCGAGTCTTGTGAAACGCGGTATTATTGGGTGTTCTTCAACGGGAAACTCGGGAAACTTTACTTAGTCAATTTTTTAAAATTCTCAACTCCAAGTTGTTGGACGTGGCCTAAAATTCTATCTCGGTTTCTGTTCGTTATAGAGCTTTGTGAACCGCGGTAGCAGGGGTACTTTTCGACGGGAAACTCGAATTTTTAGTCAAGTTTTAAAAATTCTCAAATCCAAGATGGCGGCCGTGGCCTAAAATGTTATCTCGGCTCCTGTCGGTTTTTGTGAAACTTAGTAATAGGGGAAATCATTCCAGTCAAATCTTCAAAATTCGAAAATCATGATGGCTAAAAACCAGAGCATTGTATGGCGGGTTATGAAAAACTATTTTTCGCAGGAACAAAGTAACCCCGCTTCTTCAAAAATAGAAACTTCACACTCATAAGCATAGTGAAGCAATTTTATGCCAGAATATTTTTTAACTGACAGAATAGGTATTCCATGTGAACTTTTGATGAGGAGCCGGCAAATTATATTCTATTAGTGCATTTTTCAAACTTATTTACTTTTTTAAAACATGTTTTCTGTTGAAAAGGGCTTTCTAATCTTGCGTTGGTGGGTAGTAGTAATTTTCAAACTTTCCGGAGCTCATTCTTCTGCCAAACCCTCCCCCCCCCCCCCC